TAGACAAGACGGAGGTTATGAAAATAACCAACCAACAACAACAGCAGCAACATCCAGCGCCAATCACCATCAATGGGAGGGATTTGAAAGAGGTTACTTCATTCACTTATCTAGGGAGAATTGTCTCAACTACAAGAGGAACGGACGAGGATGTCAAATCGAGAATCGGGAAGGCGAGAAACACATTCATGAACCTGAAACCAATTTGGAAATCTTCCGCTGTCACTCAGCATCAACAACGAAATTTGGATTTTCAATACAAACGTCAAGTCAGTTTTGCTATACGGATCAGAAACTTGACGGGTCACAAAGAATATTTCTAACAGGCTGTTGCAGACCTTTATCAACAACTGTCTTCGTTCTTTACTCAAGATCAAATGACCGGAAAGAATCACCAACAAGAAACTATGGGAACAAACAAAGTAAAAACCAACTGCCCAACAAATATGCAGGAGAAAGTGGAGATGGATTGGACACTCACTGAGGAGGCCGTTGGGTGACATCGCGCGTCAGGCCAGTGCTTGAGTGGAACCTGAAAGGGAAGCGGCGAGTGAGACGTCGGTGCAAGGGTGACATGGAGGATATCGTGTGAACAGGAACTGAAACAGTATGGATTAACATGGATGCAAGCGAAAAGTACAGCAGAAGACAGAAGCAAATGGAAGCGTGCAGTTGAAGCCCTATGTTCCACTAGGAACCCAAGGGAACAATAATAATGTACGTACCTTGAATGTAAATTTCAAATTTGACGGCACACTTTACAGACAAGTGGCTGGGAGCGGTGGGCGATGAGCTCCCCATCGGGTCCCATTTTGGCTGATTTCTTTCTAAGTAAACTAGAAAATGGATCTTTGAGCGAATTTATCAGAAAGTTCCTATTTTATTGCCAGTATATGGATAACACCTTCATTCTTTGTGATAATGCTTATGATAGGAGTACAATAATTACTGAATTCAATGAAGTACATTCGGCTATGAAATTCCCGTGGGAAGAGGAACCCCAAGAGAGAATAGCCTTCCTGGATGTCCTCCTTACAAAAAAAACCAGATGGTAGCACAAAAAGAAATTTGCATAGAAAGTTTACTTGGACAGGACAATATACACATTTTCACAGCTTCGTTCCTCTCAAGTACAAAATAAATTTAGTAAAGACCCTCAGCTACAGAGTTAGAGCTCTATGCTCAGAAGAAGTAATTGAAGATGAACTAAGCATTTTATGTGAAAACTTGATTGAAAATAGCCATCCCGACAAATTTATCTAGAAACACATGACAAAGAAAGCGGAAAAGAACTACTCACTATCCGTAAACAAGAAGCCTCTTTATATATGACTGCAATTCAAGGGCGATATACCAAGTGAAATAATTATGAAGAAATTAAGAAAATCAGTTCAAAGAACTTTTAATGCTGGCGAACTACACGTCTTATTCTCTACACGACCGATGGTGCTACCTCGACTGAAAGATGAAGTACCTAGACTAGCCACTTTAAATTGTATCTACCAATTCAACTGCGCTTGTGGAGCGAGTTATATTGGCCGTTGCTCTAGGAACTTGATTTTTCGTGCTCGCTTGAGAACATCTCCCATTATGGCTAAGTAAAGGTGTAGTGAAAACCATAAACAGTTCGATATTGGACCATCTGGTGCAAACCGGCCACAAAGCCAGCGTTGAAGAATCCTTCTCTATCATCTACCGGGTGCTAAATAAATTGTCAAAAACATCGAAGTACCGCATGCTCCAAACAGCAGAGGCTATTGAGATTCGTCTCAAAGAACCAATGCTCTGTGTGCAAAAGAAGCAAGTCCAGCCAATTCTGCTGCCCTGGCCGTCATTCAGTAGAGACTATAAATTCATGAATTTGTAATATTATCTTTCCTAATTTTTCACATATTCAGTTTATTGTTATATTGATGCATTTGGACTGTAATCCATTGATATTATTGATTCGATGTTATTTAAACAACATTAATGTTGTTCATAACACTAATTCATTCCATACATTTATTCCCCTTAATGAATTTGAACAAAGCAAGAACTACAGTTTTAGCAGAATAAAGTGGTACCATCTTTTATTTCGTTGCCTTCTCGTCAGCTGCTTACAGGCCACAGTCATTATTAAGTATATCTACAGAAAAATTTTAACATACTTTTTAACAAAAATCAATCGATCAGTATATGCATACAGTAATTATATATATATATATATATATATATATATATATATATAATATTAAACACTATTCCGAACAATAATAATCATACACAATGAAAACTTTCCAGCATCTCGCATTCGGATGAAAAATATCCAGTTACCAAGGCAAAGAAAGACTGATAACCGCTTCTTTCTGGACGCATAAATCAGGTTTCAGGCGCTTGATGGAAATGGCTTCTGCAAACTTGAGGAGAATTGAGCTCTTTTGCTTACTGATAATTTTGAACTACTTTGCGATGTCCACCTCATGACTCGTGTCGAGGAGATGTCTGGCGATGGCACTGTTTAAAGTATTTGTTCCCTTTAGACGTAAGCTTTTTGGTACATGTTCAGAAAATCGTAGATATGCCCTCCTTCTTTCTGTTCTTCCAATGTAACTGCTCCCACAGATACACGTAAATTTGTATATACAGTTGGAGTTAACATGAGAAGGATATCTATCGATTTTTGATTGCACCAAAGAGCAAGTTGTTTTCGATAGACGCGGACGAGCTTAGCTAGATGCAGGATAGGCTACGGCTAGTCATGTACTCAGCCTTCTGTAGAGCTTGATGAAGAAGAGGTTATCGAAAAGAGTATTCTTTGTTCAGTTACCATTCTTTTGAAAATTTTATTTTAGTTTTTACCCGATTAATGCTTTATACATTACAAATTTGTTATCTAAAATTTACAATTCTAGCGCCAAATCTTTGAAATTTTCACTTTTTTGCTAAGAAAATTAACTACATATATACGATTGTACAGGTTGAGAATGTTGTCGCCGAAAAAAGTAACTCTTCGCTGAACGCCTTTTCTTTTATATAATTCAATGGGAATTTTTAAGCTGCACAAACATACTTCTGAATATTGATCAGTGTGCAAGAGGAATTGAATAAGTATATTAGAGTGTTTTCACGAGTTGATCACGGATTGATATCAGTTAGAGAACCATTGAAAACCAGGGAGTACTGGACAGCTGCTGTCAAGGAACTTAGCCCGAAGTTCCTATTGTAACGAAGACGCTTTGAACCGATAATGACTGTGTATCTTCTCGACTTTAACTCCAAAACACCAGTATTCTTTGAAGGAAGTTATATTGTTTGGCAATTAAAGTGAAAACAATTACAAGTCTACAAACAAATGTTCATTACAAACAAAATTATAGAGTACTTTTATTCGTATTCGTCTGCCGTCTTCGAACTTGCACACGATCGAGCCATTTGCGCCTTCGAGTTGCCCGCTAATGGTGATCAAGTTCAATGAACCAACGTTCAATGTTCATATTCCTTGACAGGTGCTGTTTCATCCTAGTTTGGGAATCATCGGCAGTACGCACCCACTGGGACTTGAACCCAGGACCTTCCGGTTACAAGGCAAGCTCGTATACCATTCAGCCACTGGTTGGGGTCGCGCTAAATCACGAATTGGTAGAAGTTAGAATTCATGAGCCATTGAATTGGGTCCCACTCGTAAAAACATAACTAACCCTGACAAACCAAACTATAGAGTATTAGAGTGTTTTACACCTAATTTGAGGAGTAATTTAATTAGTAAGTTCTAATCAGGATGCACATAGAAGCGAAGGAAAATGTGGTATTACTTAACAGTTCGAGAGAAATACAAGAATTACAAAGAGTTAAAAAACAAAACAACAACAGGATGGTTACCATGGTAATAGAGGTGGACGAATAATTCTCTTCTGTATAGAGAGGACTTCGGTTTCTCTACCTGAATGTCTAGAGCTTCAGCAATACAAAGGAGATGAAAGCAAATCGCCTTTACAGGCTATTCTTCTCTTTGTATATTACTTCGAAGCAGGCGTTTGTTGAGATGGAATCGCTAGGTGTTGACAAGGTGCTCGATAATCGTTGGATAGTGCTATTGTTTAACCTTTTTTTGACAGGATACGTATCATAGGAACAGGTGAACTGATATATATATATATATATATATATATATATATATATATATATATACAGAAGTAGATGTATACACGATCTTGTCTTTCCGACTTCTGGAGACCTTTGGATAACATTGGAAGATACTGCTCTTAACGTTGCTGCAAAGAATCTGTTTTTTCACAAGTCGAGTCGTTTTTGAAATCCAGGTTCATGTAAAGTTTCTTTTTTTACGAGTTCATCGCGGATTGATATCAGTTAGAGAACCATTGAAAACCAGCATTGGAGTACTGGACAGCTGTTTCATCCTAGTTCGGGAATCACTGGCAGTATGCTGTGGTTCAATAGTTCTCTAACTGATATCAATCCGTGATCAACTCGTAAAAACATATCTAATCCTTACAAACCAACCATTGAAAATTAATCTAATATGCGCTACAGGACTGAGTTTCCTGGAGTTCTACTGAGAATTCGTGACCAATGAGGTACATCCAGTCAAGTGTGTGGATGGAGTTCCCTCCGATGACATTGGTTGGTGGTCGCGCTAAAATTACGAATTGGTAGAAGTTAGAATTCATTGGCTGGCCATTAAATTGTGTTCCAGTGGCTGAATAATATACGAGCTTGCCTTGTAACTGAAAGGTCGTGGGTTCGAACCTTGGTGATGGGTGCGTACTGACGATGATTCCCAAACTAGAATGAAACAGCTGTCCAGTACTCCCTTGTTTTCAATGGTTCTCTAAGTGATATCAATCCGTGATCAACTCGTAGCATTAAATCTAATCCTTATAAACCAACTATTTAAAGTTTCTTTCTTGATAAAAATAATATTCCGTTTTGTTTTGTATTTAATGTTCTTGCCCTGTTTTTTTCTTTTCTTTTTCGCCTTCACTTTTATCTCTCATCAGGTGGTGAAGTTCTTTATCATTTTGAACAAAAACAAGTTGTAAATCATCCAGATTATAAGAAAATTATTGATGTGTTAAAAATCAAACCTCAAGAAGTACCAAAGTTTGCACCTGTTCTATCAGAAGCCTGCGACGATGCATGTAGACGATGATACGATGACACAAGTTGGGGGTGGGGGTGTAGACGGAGAAAAAATTCTGGCTGCTTAACAAAGTTTTCTGTTTCTTTCCCTCTCTCTCTTTTTCTTTTTCCTGTAGCTTTTATATTCCCCTCTTAGTGATCTGTTTCTTTTTTGTTTAAATGAATTAAATACTTTCAATGTTCAATTTCAGGGAAATTTGATTTAATTAATATTATATATTATTATACTGATGGTTTGAATTATGTTATATATATTTCAAGTAATTGTCGAATAGTTCTTTTATGCAGATTTTGGAGGGGATGGATAGGAAAATAGCAGAAGAACTTGCATGGAGTGGACAATATCGCTTCAACAGCACATCTTGATTTGATCCCTGTTCTCCTTAGACAGGATACGAGTCGAACGACCAATGTACCTGACTCCACAGGAACAGGTGAACTGATATACACACACACACTGAAGTGATCAGATTGTGGGATCTTGTCTATTGGGCATCTGCAGACTGGTGGGCGACTGGAGAACACTACTCTCAGCGTTACTTTGAAGAAACTTCTTTTAAAAAAATCTAAAATCTTCCTCCTAAGAACATCACTGAGTAGTAGATGATCACCTTTGGTGTCGAGGTTCATGTAAAGTTTCTTTTATGTGCCACGGACGATGTCTCTTGGCTTTTTATTTTCGACTTCACGTTTATGTCAATGAATCTTGCTGGATTCCTTTCAAAATGTATAATTTCACCTTCAGAGTATCAGGTATGCAGATGTGTTGGATGGATGCGAGTAGCAAGAGATATAATTAGGCATCGTCTTACAAGCGAAAACCGACAAACTGGTCGAAGAAGCAGGCAGTGAAGACAGGACTCCAGGTGAACATAGACAAGACGGAGGTTATGAAAATAACCAACCAACCAACAACAACAACAGCGGCAACATCCAGCGCCAATCACCATCAACGGGAGGGATTTCACAGAGGTTACGTCATTCACTTATCTAGGGAGCATTGTCTCAACTACAGGAGGAACGGACGAGGATGTCAAATCGAGAATCGGGAAGGCGAGAAACACATTCATGAACCTAAAACCAATCTGGAAATCTTCGTCACTCAGCATCAACAACAAAATTCGGATTTTCAAGTATTGGTTTGGTAGGGATTTTGTTTAATTGTATGGAGGATTTCATCATGAGCTGACATCAGTTAGAGAACCACTGGAAAACCTGGGAGTACTGGACAGCTGTTTCGTCCTAGTTTGGGACTCTTCAGCAGTACGCACCCACCGGGATTCGAACCCAGGACCTTCTGGTTACAAGGCGAGCTCGTAGACCATTGAGCCACTGGGACCCGATCCAATGGTCCTTGAATTCTAACTTCTGCCAATTCACGACATAGCGCGATTTTCAAATTCGGATTTTCAAAACAAACGTCAAATCAGTTCTTCTATACGGATCAGAAACTTGGCGGGTCACAAAGAATATTTCCAACAGCCTGTTGCAGACCTTTATCAACAACTGTCTTCGCTCTATACTGAAGATCAGATGGCTGGAAAGAAAAGATCAGCAACAGGTATCTCTGGGAGCGAACCAACCAACCTAGCAGGAACCGACTGTGCAAAAAATAAGCAGGAAGAAATGGAGGTAGATTAGCCATACTCTGAGAAATCAAACCATCAAGTGAGTGACATCACAAGACAGGCTCTCGAGTGAAATTCGAACATGGAGCGGTTTGTTGGTCATCCAAGGGTGACATGGAGGAGGTCATGTGAAGAGGAGATGAAAGCATGTGGGCAGATGTGGAGCCAGATGAAAACGTTGGTGGAGAATCAAAAGCAGTGGGGACGTGCGGCTGAAGCCCTACGTTACTCTAGGAACTAGGGGAAAAATAATAATAACGATTATCATCACAGGTGATAACCATGTCATCCACATATTTAGCATACACTTGAAAACTATAATGTGCGTCGGTGGCACAATGGTTAGGACTCTCGCCGACCATGCACATGGTCCGGGGTTCGATCCCCTGCCGACGCACACCTGATATCAATGGTCGACCTGCAAAATTTTGGCTACCGATATCACATGCTGAAAATTCCATACTTGTACCAAAAGTACTGTGTGGTTTCAAGCTGTGACCAAAAAAAAAGAAGCAAAATTATAGTAAGAGCTTTACTCTGGCCATGGTAGGACGAGAGAATGTATGTATCGATTTTGAATGCAGAGGTCCGGTTTCAGATCTCGAATAGCTAATGCTTCAGCTATGTACAGATGGCGTATGCGAAGTGCCTTTGAACGATATTGAGGGACTCTGTGTATCACTGTGAAGCATTCATATGGGGTGCTCGATGTCCGGAGATGACAAGGTGCTTGAGGATAGAGCTGCTGCTATTCTTATTTTCTCCTCTGGCCAACCAAGCTGGGCAGTGTTCCAGAATACGTTTTTGGACTTGACGTTGCGTACGGCCAATATACTTTGCTCCACACGAACAAGTAAATTGATAAATACACATTGAAGTGGCCAAAAGCGGTATCTTATCCTTAACGTTAGACTGGATTAACTGTCTGCTGGAGAATGTGATACGTAAGGTGGCTGTTGGAAATGTCTTCTTCAGACATTTAGAAAAACGGTTTCTGAGACTTTCCGCTGCGACATCACCTTTGAATTCCATGTGCATGAAGAGAGTTTTCTAAGGAACCATTGTGATGTTTAACGACGGAGGCTTCTCTTTCATATTTTTGTCAATGAATCCTGGTGGATACTCGTTCTCTAGTAGGGTTTCACATAATAAATTCAATTCTTTCTCTACCATGTCTTCCGAACAGATTTTTCTAATCCTTGAACTTAATGTTCGTACCAGGTTTCGCTTTTGGATCATTGGGACGAAGCTCTGGAAGTTGATAAACTGTTTCGTCCATGTTGGATTGGGGTATATCTATCTTTGGATGGTACAGTCGTGTCTTCTGGTAAGTAGTACATCGAGGAATGGAAATGCATTGCTCGATTCACGTTCTAAGGTGAATCTTATTGATGGGTGTGCTGCGTTGAAGGTTTTGAGGAGGGAATCTAATTCAGATTTTTCATTACAAATTATGAACGTATCATCTACATATCTTCTGTATAAGTGCAGTTGACTTACCAAAAGATCGAGGATGTTGTTTTCAAGACTCGCCATCAAGCAGTCGGCTAGGAGTGAACCAAGGGGAAACCCCATGGCTACCCCAACTTTCTGTACATAGAACTATTCATTGAATTTGAACTGGATATTAAACGCACATCTGAGAAGAAGTTCCTTCAGATAGTTTATGGGAAGAGGAACTTCTAGGTTGCTGTTTTCGATGTAATTACAAATGAAGCATATTGTTTCGGTCAAGGGGATGCTTGACAATGGAGAAGCGACATCTAGTGAGATCATTTGTCTTTCAAACATGTTGACATCCTTCACTGAGTCGATGAAGTCAAATGTATCTCTGAGACTATATTTTGTCATATGTCTTCTTACTAGTTCAAGGATGTCAGTTAGCCACTTCGCAGTTTAATGATATGGTGAGTTAACCATGTCTATGATAGGTCGAAGTGGGACATTTTCCATACGCAACTTAGACTATCTGTACATAGCTGAAGCATTAGCTATTCGAGATCTGAAACTGAACCTCTGCATTCAATTGAAAATTATCAATAGTTGACCTAAGTGGATCATTCTCGAGGCTTACCAACTCATTGATTAAATTCTTCATCTTATTACGTAACTCGAATGCACTTATTCAATTCCTTTTTATGCATTGAATAATATCAACAACTATATTTGTCGAAACTCACCACTTTTATTGTACTACTATCTTCCATGAAAATGAGATTGTATATGAATTCGATTGTACAGCTAAAGAAAATGGATTTAATTTAATGCCCAAAACTAATAACCCCAGTAGGATGTAGATGGTGTTGTTAAAGTTCAGAAGTCACGATACCCTATTAGACCTATAGTTGATTTTTCAGAAATTCACCTACTTATGAATTATCTAAATATTTAGCCATGGTATTAAATCCCCTTAAAAGCCACTCAAAATCTAGACTAACTAATTCTTATGAACTGAAACATAGATTAGATAATTTAAAATTAGATAATGAGGAGAAAATGGTTAGTTTTGACATTGTCAGTTTATATTACACGTATACCGATAAATATGGTTATAGAGGCAGTCAGAAACGAACTCATTTCTGACCAAGAACTTGAACTTAGAACGAGAATGCCACTAGAGGACATAATGCTGGGAGTACAGCTATGCCTGACTTCCACAGTATTTAAATTCCAAGGGAAAATATACAAACAAACTGAGGGAGTTGCTATGGTGTCACCAATGTCCTCGATTGTAACAGATATATTCATGGATAGCTGGGAAAACTTGGGGATTGAAATGTTCACCCCCACCCCAAAAGTATGGAGGAGGTATGTAGATGACATATTCACTGTACTTAGAACACAGGATGTAGACAGATTTTTTGGATACATTAACTGAAAGGTGGAGACAATTCAATTCACTTATGAATTAGAAAGTCACGAAGCGGGGGAGCTTCCAATGTTAGATTGTAGTGTAAAAAGGAAAGAAGATGGGAAGTTAAACACACTAGTGTGTTTACAAGAGATCCACACATTCAAACAGATATTTGGACTTACGATCATCCCATTCTATGTCAGTGAAAATAGGATTGTTGAAATGTTTAAGTGATAGAGCACAAAAACTAAGTAGTACCAAGGAAGATCTAAGATAGGAAGTGAGGCAAAGAGGAGAAGCTTTGAAACTTAATAATTACCCTGATAAATTAGCCAGAAATTATGTAGGGAAATGTAAAAATAAAATAAATAATGATAGTAGTGATAGTGATAATAATAATAATAGTAATATTAATGACGACATGCATGTCAAACATGCGCAAGATAATGACAACACCAACAATAAGGAATCTAAATCATCAGTAGTAATTCCATACGAAGAAGGAACCTCGGAGACCTTACGCAGAAATCTTAACAATGCTGGCAGGCATAAAAGTAGCTGGCATTCAAACCCACAAACTCAATTAGAAACAAGCTTTGTCGGTTAAAGGATCAATCCTGTGGAGCCACTTAAACAAAACAGTTCAATTTATCTAGTACTCTGCCTGCGATGAATGTCAGGTCAAAGTAGTAGAACAGGTGCAGTCAGACTAGCCGAGCATAAAAATCCAGCATAATCTAGACTAGTTGATCCAAATAAAATGAGAAATCTAGAGAATAGTTCAGCTATA